ACAAAAAAAAACCTCTGTAATCAAGAGTCATTTCTGAGAATTCTGGCCATTGCAACGAACTATAGAACTCAGCAGAAAATGAGTGAGTGATGGCTGGTGTCAGAGTTGGTAATAAGTTTGGAGAGAAGACATATATGCCTGACCTCAGCTTCATGGGAATCAGCCTTTAACTGTTAATATTCCGTCCTTTTGTGAAGTTAGAGGTCAGACAGTCTCACCACCTTTATTTTTACAGGTGATCAGAATTTCTTGTCTGTCTGAGATACAGAAGGATACAAAAGAAGCCATCAGCACTTGTCTGGCTATCCAGGCATTACTGAAGTTTAGGAAGGAGAAAGATTCTCAGAGCGTTTGAAATTTGATTTATCAATGATGAACTTAAGAGTTTGAACTAAGACCATGTCTGTTTTCCCTGAGTGAATAAGCAAACAGGTGACTTTGCTTAGCAAATTAACTTGTCATTCATTCCACATTGGAGAACTTCATTTACCTCAGCGACACCTTCAAAGGTTTCCTCCTTGACAAAAATGGAGTCATGGTATTGAATCCTATAGTTAAAATTGGAGATCATACTTACTTGCTCAAAAGAAGCTGCTTATTGGAATTTCTCACGATGAACTTCGAGATGTGATCAGAACCACTGAATTGTTTGTGCCTGATTCTGTGTTACTAAAATATCCTAGACTTCCTCTAGTTTTGTGATAGTTAAAATCTTAGCGATTTTGTTTGAAATGTTTTGAGTTTTCAATTTTTATTCCTCTCAGTCATCACCATGACCTACTTATTTTTCATCATACACATCCTGTTTTATATTACATTGCTAAAATGCTAACTTTCTTGAATTGTGGCAGTCACTTTGGACTTTTGAGTTAAATGAGGCTGTAGAAATTTACACCCTCACATTGACCTGGCTGCGTTCACTGTATAGTAATATAGTAAGAATTTGGCTTCACTAAGGAGTTCTTTGAAAAGATAATAAAGGAACCCTAGCAGCTTAGTGCTAAAACATTTGGCTAATCTCAGAGAAGACCCCCAATGAGATGGATTGATTCAGTGACAGGAGTGCTGGGGGTAGGTGTGTCAGAGACAATAAGGTTGGCATAACATAGACAGAGTTCAGAGCTGTTGTACATAGGGTCGCTATGAGTCACAGGTGACTTGATGGCACATCACAGCAATAACAATCTAAGAGTCAGAAATATGAACTCATCAGCCACCTTCAGAAGATAGCATTGTCTACTCTCAAATGTTTGCAGCATTCTAAACCTTTCAGGCAGTTCTACTCTGTCATGTAGAATAGCTTTGAGTGGGAATCAATTCAAAGGCAGTGGGCTTGGCTGTTTGTTTCTAGATGTTTAATTATCCTAAAAATGGTCATTATGTTGCCATCACCTGAAGTGATTTTTTTTGGCCCCTTCTGGAAGGGAGAGGAGCAGCTAAGCAGTGGTAACAATAACCTGTATTGTATGTCTGTTCTTTCTATGTAACTATTATATCTGCTCCAGAATTCCTTCACTCGTTGATCCTAGCTGTAATATCAGCCCCCATTTAGAACACTGGATCTCACAGCAAAAAGGTGGAGGGGTCGGTGAGGGAAAAGAAGGATTGGATTAACCAGGTAGATTTAACACGGTGACTGCCACAATGGGCTCTTAGTGTGTCAGGAAGTGTAAGGATAGCACAGAACAGGACAGGGTTCAGATCTGTTGTTCACAGGGTTGCTGTGGGTCATACTTGACACCTACATAGCACCAACATCCTACACAGGTGTGGGCTCACTATGCAAGTTCTTTGCTTTGTTTTCTCCTTTCTCACCTTTTTCCATTTCTCAAGACTTCGTCTTGTTCACTCCACCTATTTAGGTTTCTCTTTAGATGTGTGGTGGAAGCTTTAGAAACTTACAAATGAGCTTTGAAACACCCAAATGAAGTGTAGATAAGAGAAGCTTTTCCTTGCACTTCAGTTTTTATGAGCATGGGCAGCCCAATGAGGGGGACCCTGTGAATCCTCTGATGTAGCATAGGAATAACTAAATGGTCTAATTAGCTTGAAACCCCTCTGTTTTGTTGCATGATGTGATTGAGGTGGTAAACACAGACACATTGGGAAGAGCCCACACACAAAAAAATTGTGTTTCCCTGTTGTATAAAACACTCCTTTTCTGCCCAGTACAGTTTGAAAAGCAACCATAAACATTATAAACTCCAGGGGAAGAAGTCATTTTTCAGCACCTTTTTCTTTTTTTTTTCCATAATTTTTTTTGTTTGTACCGTCAAATCAGATCTGACCGGTACAGGAGGAGAGTGTTCCTCCTCCAGCAGAGCATCTGGTGCACTTCTGAGTTTGCAGTTGCAGCTTCTTGCCACTAGGCCACCAAAGCTCGCCTCAGCACCTTTTTCTAAGGTCTGACCCTGCCTATCATGTCCTTCGTAGGTCCTCGGAAGTTCCGGTAAAACATACACCTGTTTGGCCTCTTGTCATTACTGTTCGTGTCCAGCATTTGCCTTCTCGGTGCTACGGATGAGTGACAGCCTCCTGGTGAGGATGTGGGGGGCTCCTCCCATGACAGCTGAATTAGGAGGAGAATTGTTGGGAAATGATTGTGTGGTCTGACAGTTACACAGTAATGAGTTTTACTACATAAGGAAACAGATCTTTATTGTCCTTGGCTTTACCTAGTCATCTATTGGATTTAAGTTCCTAAAACACAAGGTCATTTCAGAAGTCATACAGAACTATATCAGTTTCATGCTTTTTTTTTCTTTTTTTCATTTTGATTTGGAAAGGGCAATAGGGACATCCCAGAATTCAGTATTGGGGAATTAGATGGCCCTCTGTTATTTGCACGAAATTAAATATTGGCAGCTTTGCAGTTCCCATCCCCAGCCGTGAGCCAGTGTCTTCCCACAGCACCCATAAGCTGGCCTGGCACACCACCACACGTTACTTGACTCCCGTGATACAGGAGAGCCCAGCAATCTGTCAGTTCTGTAGGTGTCCAAAGCATCAAGAACAGGATGTACACACACTGCTCTTTATTTAAATGGGAAAGATTCTACTCACCTAACAGCTGTAATTGTTTTCCTTAAGTTCTGTCACAGAAAATCACAGCATTCATCTCATTCTTTCTTGAAATTAGAATTTTGAGGATGCTACCTAGAGCATGAAGGAATCCCACTCTTTAAGAGCCATGCTCACAGCTGATATAACTTGTTTCTTCAAGATCAAACACTTCATCCTGCTGTCTTCTTAGATGTGTGTACAGGCCACATATGTGAGAACTGTGCTGGCGCTCCCTTCCCCACACCCAGGAAGTAGAAGAGTGGTCAAGAGAATGGGTGCTGGACTTAATGCATGGTCAGAATGGGGACAGCCCTCAGGGCAGCTGTCAAATTTCAATGGATTAATAAGCTGCAAGAAACACTTAGCAGAGTACCTAGAGCAGTGTTACTCATTAATAGCTTTCTGAAGGCAAGGAATGCAAGAGCCAAATTTAAGACAAAATATAAGGAATTTGTCCTGATTTTCACCGTGGCTTATATTATATACCTTGTGCTAGCTGGATCTAAACTGTTGCCCAAAGCAGCAGGCAAAATTAATCTTTCTTTGCTCCCTGTGGCCTTTACAAAGACTACATAGGCCTCCTTTTCAGTTTTTAGGCAGTGAGTTGAGGACATAGGCATGCACCAGTTCCTTCCCATTAGATAGAATAGCAGTGAGTTAGCCATCTCTGGCTGTACCTGCTTCTCATGGGCTCATGGGCTTTGTATTTCAGTGCAAACATCTCTTGGCAGTTTATCTTAGTCATATAATGGGGACCTGCCAGCAGCTAACTGTCTCTGACAAGCACCTGACTGACATGCTGTTCACCGAGGAGGAACAAGAGCATAAAGATACAGAATGAACATCATCTTCCAAAATAGAAGTCTCATCAAGAAATACAGTTTATAAAGAAGAGAGCTGAATGAATCCATAAGCTTCTTGATGCTGTGACACCTCTGTGACTTTTCCCTCCTGGCCTGGTTAGAGTCTATGATGTATGGTTAGAAGCCCTGTACCGAGTCCCTTTATGAAAAATCTAACCAGTCTCTGAGCCGCTGGGTAAAAAAACTGACCTGGAATCAAGCATTTTGCACTCATATAAAACCTACTACTATACTGTACCCACAGCTGGCGAGGTATTGAGGTACCTGAATTACTGATATTGTTCATTTTATTATGTACCATTGAGTCAGTACCCACTCTTAGCTAACCCTCTAGTGGGTTTTCAGAGGCTGTAAATCACATGGGAGGAGACTACCCCATCTTCCTCCTGTGGAGTAGCTAGTGGTTTCAAACAACCTGTGGGTTGGCAGCACAACTCTTTAGACCACCTACTTAAGATTAGGTCCCTAAATGAATTACTAGTCATTTTTAAAAGAGTGGAATAGTAGATCAAACTCAGTATGGTGACGTTTAAAGAGTTAGTACTTTTCCTTCCCTCTAGCCAAATCTCATTGCTGTCAAGTTAGAACAGATCATAGCTGAACCTCCAGCAGCTTTCTGAGGCTGTTAATCACATGGGAGAAGACTGCCTGTCTTTTGTCCTGTGAAGCCACTGGTGGGTTCGAGCTACCAGAGGAGCCACCTTTGAGCTACAAAGTAAGTTCCTATGGACTCTACCACCAGAGCTCCCAGTTCTTTTCCTTATATCCAGAAAATGATTCTGCAGCAAAGATAGGGCTAAGTAGTAGCAACACTAGTAAGAATTAAGAGTCCTGATTTTTGTATGCTTCAAGTATCTATGGAGTTGGTGTCCAGGTGGTATCTAGACAAGAGAGGCTTACTCTGTATGCACTTTTGCCCCCTAGACCAAATAAGGGAAGGGGCTCAAAATTAGGTCCTGGGAGAAGTTAAGAGTTACTACTAGGGAAAAACTGTCCACAGCCCAAGTAGGATCCCAGGAGAACAGGAATTCCCTGCCTCTGGAAAGGTTCAGTAAATCTGCTGAGATGTTGCAAAGCATTAAAACAGTGAACAGACAAAAGAGATCCTTTGAGGGGCAGGGGGACTCACACTAAATAGTTAAACAGGTTTGTTTGTTGTTGTTTTTTTTGTCTTGGGAAAGTTAACTTGGAATGAAAGTGAAATATACATCACTTAACAAAGGTAAATGATGTCACTAAAAAGGATACAATAAAAGGATTTGTTGATAATGTGTTGTGGCATACTTAATTATTCAGCAACAAAAGTAGCCAGCAAGTTTACATGTAGACATATGTTTATGTACATAGGTGTCCATGAATGTATGTAGGACTATGTGTGTATATATACAGGTGTACATATGTGGGTATATGTATATATGCACAGGTGTATTTTTGCGTACATACCATTTTAAATCACAGGGACTTTCCATCAGGTTTACGAAGCTATAAATCTTAATGGAAATTGACTGCCCATCTTTCTTCAATAGTGGGTGGTGAGTTTAAACTAAACTGATAAATGAAATATTGCATCACCAGAGCTCCTTCTCTGTATATAGGTATATGGGTTACGTATGTGAAAATGTGTGTGTGCATGTATGACCAACTCAGAATTGCCTCTCCAGCAGGTTTTTAGAGACTTTAAATTACACTTACAGAAGACTGTCCCATCTTTTTCCTGTGGAACAGCCAGTGGATTCAAACCGTCTACCTTTGGTTTGGCAACACAACTCTGTACCAGCGAGGCCACCAGGGCTCTATATCTGTGTTTCTGTGTACATATAGAGACATACACCATACAAAGGATACTTTTAAATCTAACTAAACACCCTGAAAGATTGGATTTCTGGGATTGAAGGATCAAGACCATAATCTTAAGGGACGTTTTAGTAATGTGGCATGATACAGGTCATGAAGTTATACTTCTACATCCTAGTTTGGTAAGCAGTATCTAGAATCCTGTAAGCTTGCAAGTGGAGATACTGTGTTGATACTGTATTGTTGCATGCTGCTGAGTGGAACTGACTCATAGCTGACCCTCTGACAAGTTTTCAGAGTCAGTAAGTTGCACAGAGGAGATTGCCCATCCTGCAGAGCAGCTTCGTGATTGCAGCAAATCTTCTTACTACTAGGCCACCAGAGCTCCCTGATAATGTACTGTATTATGTAAAGAACACTATATTATATAATAAAGTAATTCAATATAGATAACCCCATCATTGTTGTGTTAATCAAGTTGGAACCAACCCATTTCTGACCCTCCAGCAGGTTTTCAGAAGCAATCACACAGGAGGAAACTGCCCATCGTTCTCATGCAAAGTGGCTAGTGGATTCAAACCATGTATCTTTGAGACCACAGCTTCAGCTTCTTGCCGCCTGGCCACCAGACCACCAATGCAAAAACATGCTTGAGATACAACTATTAGTCTTGACTCATCCAGAGCAACAAGAAAAAAGGCTAAGAATCAGAGGGACCGATCTACAGATGCAATAGTCTACATGAACCATAGTCTTACTCTGAAATCAGAAGAGCTATATGGTGCTTGTCTATCACTCTGACCATTTAATCAGAGCAACAGGTGATGATTCTGATAGAATGGGATGGGGGAGGGGAAGTGGAACAAAATATAAAATTTCTAAAAAGAAAAAAAATCAGGGGTCCTGAGATACGCTTCAAAACTTGAACCAAAACCTACCCTTGAGGTCACCTTATAGCTAAATAACAAGTTGGGTCAAATAATATTACCTGTAAGTACTGTCCTAAAAAAATAAATAACTTAACCTCTGTGACAACAAAATTCATAGAGGGAGCTCTTGTGGCCCAATAGCAGTTCAAATCCACCAGCTGCTCTCTGAGGAAACACGACCAGTATCCTGTGTGACCCACAGCCCCTGAATACCACTGGAGGGTCAGCTGTGAGTTGGTTCTGACTTGACAGCACAGAACCACCACCAGGCTAAAATGGTCAATCATCATTTTAAAACAATAAGACTATAAGGGGCTTTCGGAAACTAGATTAACAGAACCAGAACAGGAAAAAAAAGAATGTACGTGTGGTATAAAGAATGGATAACTGACATCACTGAACAACTTGTGTAGGAACTGAATAGGAACCTAAACTGCTATGTAAGCCTTCAATGAAAAAAAATTACTACTTTTTTTTAAAAAAAGTACAGCCTAGTCAATGCCCCACCGCATTGCTGGCAGGTGGAGGCTGTATGGAAAACCCCAGGGCACAGATGTCCCAGGGCTCTGTGATTGGCAGACCATTTCTTTACTTTGAAGTGTGACAGATAAAATCCGTCACAACTTTCCTGTTGTTACTGTGTATCATCAGATCGGAACCAACCCATAGCTAACCCTCTTGGGGGTTTTCAGAGGTAATAAACCACACGGGACAAGAGTTTACATCCTTCTCCGGCAGAGCAGCTGGTGGATTCAAACTGTGCAGCTTCTTACCTCTAGGCCACCAGCGCTCTGTTATGTTTTTCCTACTGCTTAGAAACTTGGGACTTGGCATAAACTTTCTTTTTAAAACAGTCTAGAGGGTAAAGTACACAGGGTAGGTGCACCTCTATATGACAAATCAGTGCCACAACCCACACATAGTTTAAAAAGTTTTATTCCTATTTCACACAATACAGTCATAAAACTTTATTCCATAACACTTTCATATTCAGAGTTCCAACAACTTGGTCAAACTTGGAAGAGAAGTCAGACACATTATTAGCTTAAAAAGGAGAAAATGGAAATGAGCAGAGGGGTCCCAGTTTTTTGTTTCTTCCTCTAGATTAAGTTTTCTCTTTATGGTAAAGAATAGAACTAAAAATAGTTATCTGACAATATTCTACACAAGAGTCATCTCCCTCAATGAAGCAGTTTTTTTACTGAAGTATACTTTTTTCTGTTTCTTCCTAGGAACGAGTGTACAATTTTAGTATATTATTTTATTTTTCCATTCTATCCAAGTTAAAGGTGACTTGCATTATAATAGTTCATAATTTTTCACAGTAAAAAGATTTCAATCATTTCCTACTATATAAATGCAAACTTCAAAACAAACACAACTCCTATTAGAATCCATTCAAGTGTCAGCATCATCCATTTATTAAGAGCAGCCAAAAAAACCATAAATGCCAAAAAATAAATTTATCAACCTTGGAGCCTGCAAATAACATGAAGGAGGCTAGGGGTGTGGTAAGCCCAGGGAAAGACTCAAGAGAGTCAGCCCGTATGCTTGTGAGGCATAAATGTCTTGCACTGAGAATCAGCCAGTCATGTCGTATCCTTTGTTCTAAATTTGTACCTTCTTGAAGAGGCCACAGCCTGGGCCATAAGCTCACATCAAGAGCTGGTCGTGACCCCTGTCTACCCATTCCCACTCTTGAGGATATCTGTCTGGAAGAGAATATATTTGGAGATGATCTTGTGAAATGTGTATCGGAAGTCTCTATTCCGGTAGGCATAGACAATGGGATTGACAACAGAGTTAGCATGTGACAGGAGAATGGCAGTGTTGACTGCCCACTTGGACTTCACCTTATGTTGGGCTGGGTGGAAAAGAGTGACACAGTTGATAGCATGTACTGGCAGCCAGCAGAAAGCAAAAATCCCCACAATCATCGCCAAGGATTTGGCTGCGTGGATCTCTCGTTGAAGCATGGTCCTTGAGTGGCCCCTCAGTTCAGTTCGCTGTAGCTGCTCACAGGCCACCATGAAGATTTTGATGTAGATGACCAGCATGATGAGGAGTGGGGGCAGAACACATCCAAAAAAATTGAAATAGACCATGTAGCTCATGGAGACCACGTTCTCAAAGAGACACCTGACCAGGCAGCAGCTTTCATTCATGGCTCCATCCAAGGGGTCTGTGCAGTTGAGGGCAGTGCTTCTGCTATTCCATCCCAGGAATGGAGTGAGTCCGATGCCAAAGGCAAGGGCCCAGAGGACAACAATGACCCCTCTTGCCCGGGTCCCAGTGACCAAACTCTTATACCTGTTCAAAAGAACATCATCCATTATAATCAGTTTATTGTACTCCATAAGCAAAGTCCAAGAACCCACCTCTGTTTTGCATCAAAGGCCTTTACTCTTCAACTCATCTCATAACCATCGCATCAGAACTGATTCATAGCTGATCATCCAGTGGGTTTTCAGAGGCTATAACTGCATGGGAGGAGATTGCCTATCCTCCCACAGAGCAAGCTGGTGGATTTGGATCCTTTGAGTTGGCAGCACAACTCTATCCAGTAGGCCACCAATCATCATCTTTACCCTTAACAACCACTAATTTTTGTCCTCACAAAGCACCATGACCTTTTATCCCCAACACTAAAGTAGGTAAGAACTAATTTGCTTTAACAAGTTCTTTATAATTTTCATTCTTCACTTGGTAACCTTTTCTGCTTAGTGACAGAACTCATGGGCAATGAGAATAAGTGGGAAGTTTCAGAGGATTGCTTTTTAATTACATTTGAATCAAGTTTTCTATGGGGCATTGTTACACATCAGGGCCAGAACAACAAAGACTGCTGCTTTTAAGAAACTTACACTTCCACCAGGAAGAGACAGGTAACCATAACGTAGGTGTTATACATAGTATAAACACAGGTACCAATGCAGTAAAGTATTACAGTGTTAGGAGAAGGTAAGTATGATAGGGGGAAAGTGAAAAAGAGACTATAGTTTTAAAGGAGGAATGAGCTGGGGTAGTTTTGTAAGGTGACATTTAAACACAGTAGAGTGGGAGGTGAACACAGGCCCAAAGGAAATAAGAAGCAGAGCCCCTTGGAGTTAGGTGGCTCTGAGCAATGACCCTTCTGCTCTCCCCTACAAGGTATGCCTTGGATTGTGGGCAGAATTATCCCTGAATACTGCTAAAAATACCCTATAACCTGCTGGGGAAGAAGGCTTCCAGCACTGCTCTCAATGACCCAGAAGTGCTAAGAGCAGGCTGATAAGAGTAGGGAAATAATTTAGCAAATATCTATGTTCTTAGTAATTTTTAAACCAATAAAACTTAGTATAAACACATTTTAGACACTCTGCTAATAAACACAGGTTAATAATTATTCTATCTATTATTGCATAAGTGAATCTTTCTGTGACCTCTGAGGGCAAGTTGGGAACTGATCTGACACATATTCCACTAAGACTATGGCAGTTCTATGGGAAGTGTCATTTCCTTTGCCCAAAGATTGAAGCCCACACTTCAGCATGGTTCACAGTATCTTCTAAGTCTCAGATGGCACAAACAGGGTCTGCCCCTCCTGACCAGTGGGTCCCTGCTGAATTATGCTGCTCAAAACCAAACAAAACACCCGTTCTTGCAAGAGTGCCCTCTTTCTGATCATCTCTAAGCAAAGGATCCTGCTCCCACTCTTTGTGCCATCACACCTCCTTGAGCCCACAAAGATCATTTATCTGCTTACATGTGTTTCTCCTCAACTGGAATGTAAACTGCTCAAGGAATGAAACCTCTTTTTGTCAGTATCGTCAGGATCTGAACACCGGGTAAATTTTCTTCATAAAATTATATTCCTGGTGTGATTTGTCAAACTGCTTTAAAGAAAGATTCTGAATTTTGAATACCTCATGTTGCAGCCTGGACAGTCAGGAGGGCCAGCACAGAAGATCTTGCCTCACCATTTACAATGGCCTCTCATCTTTCTACCTGCTATTAGGGCACCTCACATGAGCAGGCAGGGCGATGACAGAGCATTGACTATAAGACACTGCTTTGGCTCTGCACGCCACCGAATATTTCTTGGTTAATGAATCCATCTATTCACAAGCTCCTGATCTTCTCATTAGGGAATGTCAAGCCATTCCTTTAAAAACAAAAATTCCTGGCCACTACCTCACTAGAGACATGAAGAGGACAATTCTTGCAGGATATGAAGGCAGCCTCCTACAGGACAAGCACTTAGAATCACAAGATTGCAGATCTGTGAGGCAGCTTGTTGGAAGAGTTCAACTGTAGTTGAGTACAGTGTTGTGGTGTTAGCCTAGGGTTGGCTTTTTTTAGCCATTATCTTAGTCCCTTCTGGTCTCCATCTACCTTAACTGCAGACACATGGTCTTACAAATCATCATCAGCTGTGGGAAGAGAGCACCTACAAGCAAGTGAGCTCGAGGGAGATCGCTTCCCACAGTGAGGTGCAAGACTTGAGGGAGACTGGTGAGACTTTACAAGACCCTGGTGAGAGCAAGACCCTGGTGATGGTGGTGGAGAGATTTTGGCATTGCTGTGGATAAACTCTGGCAAAGTGTAACCAGAGGAATCCTGAGATAAAGGCCACAGTTAAAGGAGTTTGCTGTGCCCGCCGAATACCTGAGGGAAGAGCTGGCCCTGGCACTGAAACCTGAGCCTGGACTAACTGAGGAATTGTGCCTCGGGACTCCAGGCACCAAAACCTGGATTTGCATTGTGTGACTGATATTCTTTGTCCCTCCCCTACTTTCCAACTTACTTCCCTAATAAACCCTTCTCAATACCACAACTGTGAATAAAGGCAGTGAGTCAATAACCAATAAATGAACCTCTTGCTGCTGGTGTGACTCTAGAGGCACCATGGAGCTGGGCTACAGGCTTTTCATCTGCTTTTCTGTGGTAAGGGGCTGTGTTATTCTCACTCCTTCTGGCCCTTTCAGAGAGATGTTCACGGCCCTGTGCCCCCATGTCCCATTTTCTGCTCTCTAGACAACAGCTGAACCCTGCAAGATGAAAAAGTATTTTTGAGTAAGCAAATATGATGCCTCCGTTCTCTTATCAGTGATTGGTCAGGGTGTATGAGTGAAGTGATCCTAGCCAATAAGACATAAAAAGAAGAGTCCTGGAAGACTTTCAGACTTTTTATGAGATGGAAGAGAATGATGAGGAGAGCCCCTTATACCTCATCTCTTCAACTTGTGATTTTTAGCTCAACCATTTAACAAGTGAAAAAATGGAAATATAAAATCTGGGTAACAAAAATAGCAAAAGAACTAATGCTCAGAAGCTAAGTTTGAATTCAGAGGCAGTGATCCTTCCAATGTATCATGCTGTCTCTGGATTTCTTAGACATGGAGCTCCCTGGACCTAGAAGCCTCGTGGAAATGGCTTCCCATCAGAGTTCAAAACAATAACCAGATCCACATACATCTGAATTTCTCGAAACAGCTGGATCTCATGAATAAATGACCTATAGGCCAATGTGTCTTGGATAAGGAAAAGCAGCTCGAGGAAGCACTCACTAGTCAGACTGTCCATGATCTCCATCCAGTCCCCCTTCGCTCTTGTTCCATTCTGATTACATTCAGAGTTCTTTCCGTGACTAGGCTCTCTACCAAGCATTGGAAATATAATCACTACTTTCATGGAAGTTAGAAAACAGTGGTACAAAGAGTTTATGTGTTCCACTGCTAATCAAAAGACTGTAGGTTCAAGTCCACCTAGAGGCACCTCGGAAGAAAAGCTTGGCTCCCTACTTCCAAACAATCAGCCACTGAAAATGCTGTGGAGTACACATACCCATGTGTATTTACTCTACCACACATGAAGCTGTGTGAGTAAAAACTGAATTGCAACTTTTCTTCCTATCAATGGAAAAGGCAGAAAATAGAAGTACACACACAGGTACACACGTCATTACTGTTATGTTTCATGGAGTTGGAACTTAGTCATAGCTGACTCTCCTGTGCGTATTCAGAGGCAGTAAATGACATGGGAACAGAATGCCTGTCTTTCTCCCTCAGAGCAACTAGTATATTCAAACTTCATACCTTTGCATTGGCAGCACAATGCCTTATTGCTAAGCTACCAGAGCTCCCTCTGGGAATGATTAACAACCGTTGTATATAAAGCATGATGGAGTTCAAAATTATTTTCTGAGGACCTTAAATAAATGCTAAAGCAAAAAATATTGAACTCACATCTTCATTTTCATCTTGTCTTTGAAACTTTAAAGAAAAAAAATCAGTTCCTTACCCATTTCTGCATCTTATAAAAGGTTCTCTTTCCTAATTTCCTCTTCACTTGTCACAGTTTCCCATCTTACAGACGTAGAACTACACAAGGAAATACAGAATCTGGAGGCAAATGTCTGCCATCCCTCTGGCAACCGTACAGAACACCTCAGCGATCAGGGATCCCTCCGTCAACCGTACAGAACGCTTCAGTGTCAGTGACACCATGCTTCCACAGCCCGCACACCTCTCTCTGAGAAGCAGTAAGCAACAGACTAGGCACGCTAACTCACCAATTTCTCATGAGGTCAGAGCTGTTCACCTAGTGTGTGGATGTAAAAACTGAGGCTCAGAGGGGTCACATCATTTGCTGCTATTAAATTTCCATTAGAACATAAACCAAATCGCATCTTACTCTCTGCCAAAGTAGAAGCTGAAAATGGGACATGGGGCACAGGGCTGTGAGCATCTCTATGCAAGGTTCAGAGGGAATGAGAATAACACAGCGTCTCACTGTCTACAGTAGAAAGCGGATTCAGAGCCCACACTCGAGCCCCATGGTGCTCTAGAGCCACAACAGCAGACAGAGGTTTCTTCGTTGTTGACTCACAGACGTGGTACTGAGAATGGGGTTTACTGGGGAAACTGGAGAGTGGGGGAGGCAAAGAATATCATCCAACACAAGTCCAAGTTTTAGCCCAAGTTCCAAGGCACAAATCAGCTCCACATTTCCAGCGAGGTTTATCTCAGAGCAGCTCTAAGTCACTTTTCCTTAATTATCTGGCAAGAATAGCAAAACTTTTTTTTTTCTTGATTTTTTTAATTAAATTTTATTAGTTTTAATGAACATTTACAGAGAAGAATAGCAAAACTTTTAACTGGCTTTTATTTAGGGCCCCTCTTCTACCTTGCCACAATCTCTCCACCATCATCACCAAGGTTTCAACAGGGTCTTGCTCCAGTCTCCCTCAAGTCTTACCCATGGCAAGTCTAGCTGCCACAAGTCTTGCTACTCAGTGTAGGAAGCTCCCGAGTTCCCCCGCTCCCCTT